CCCTGGGCTACTCAAGATACCTGTGTGGGGTACACGGGAGAAATTGTGTAATGTTGGATTTCATTTTATTATAATAATAATTGCCATTTAAGGGGTTAAATATAAAATGTATGCTGGTAGAAGTACATAGGTAGCTGGTAAATCTGGAAGCAGGTACACAATAAAAAGAAGTTTGGGAACCTCTGCTTTAGGAGATTACTTAGGGATCACCATTTTTGCAGTAGCTATTCTGAGCTGAACAGTACTCATCCTACTACATGCAAGTGAAAGGATGTTTCGCAGAAAGGGGTATCTGAGATCTGTGATCCTTCTTTGTACCAGACTGAGTTAACTGAAGTTCTTCTTGTACTGACAGGATGTGCTGAAAAAGAACATAGATTCTCTCCCGGCTGTCCAAGTTTACATGAGTTTTAATAAAATATATTAATGTGTTCCTCCTAGAATGCAAATATTGTTTGGTGTGACAGAAAACTCTGGTTAAAAAGAACTGCTGAAAGCCCTGTGAATGCAGGTCAAACATTGCTCACTCACGGGTTCAGACCTTAATGTAAACCAGAATATTGTTTTATGCTTCAAATGACCCCACTTTAACTACTGCCATTTCTAAGGGTAGAGACAAATGTGCACTGACAGGAGGGTTCCTCTGAGCCTAATGGGCCAGTGAACTTGTGTGGTTTAAGCACACTATTTTCTTGGCCAACAGCACACAAGAGAGTGATGTGGCCAGAACTACATCCAGTGACCTTTGACCCCCAGATTGAGTGCCCGGGTACCCACTTACAGCCATGTCATTGGGGACAGCCTTTGACATGAGTCCAGAGCAAGAGCTGTAGCAAGATTTCTTAACCACTCTCCCACCACACCCGGTCAAACAAAGTATAAATAGTGATGGGAGCAACAACGAGGACAGAGCCTTGCTTGGGGCTGATGTTCTTTAATTTTAGTGCATGCCCCTGTGAGAGGAGACAAGAGGAACTATAGTTTCCCCCCTCTGTCTTTTTTCCCCTTATCCTCACAGAGTGGGAACTGCTCATACATATGTTATCCCTTCTACAGCTCTTGCTCACTGAAGATTGCTCCTCCTCTTAGCTTGAGATTTGCAGCAAGGCAGTTCACTAGTGCTGGCCCAACACATGCATTTGCTAGGCTTCCTGGACAGGGATGAAGGTATGTTTCCAGAATGATGAATAGATGGAAAGAAGCTTTCTCACACCTGTCTGGCCAGCTGAGTTCCTGTTCAACTGATAAATTAATCTTACTTAATGCTACTTAATTAATCAAATCAACATGATTAACATTAAGATTAAAACAGTGTAGGAAAGCAGTAGATGTAGATGTACTCATGGGTCTGAGATGTTTATGTACCTGGAAAAGCCAGGTATATATGTCACCAAATTTTCCTGTGCAGCTAATTCAATATGTTTACTTACTATTCTAATCACTCTATTTTAATCACTAAGTTTACATACTATTGAAAATGTCTCTTACAGAAATGTATGTTAAAATATTATTAGACATTGAAATAGTTGAATAGGGGTTTTCCTGTTTTACAATGCAATACATACTTTTAGGTGGGGAAAAAAATTCCCTGGTTTATATTTTGTGTCATACTTCCAACTACAGTGACTTTGACCAGATGAATAAACCATTTATTTATTTATTGCTCAAAGACCTTAATAATAAAATTCAGATAAATAACTTCATAATAGTGAGTCTCCTTGCATGCACTGAAAATATAGGTGGGTAAACCAGCTAATCTGATTGTAAGAAACAGACACACACACACTCATGCACAACCACACACTTCAGAGGAAACAAGATATCCTCCACCTATCTTCTTCATAGTCCCAATCTAATCACTTATAAGGCTCTTTCTTTACTCTTCTTTGAAGCAGCATAGTAAATTTACATGCTAGTTTTAAGGAGTGTATTTCCTGAATCATATATGCAGCACGGTAAAGAGGAAAAGGTGGTTTAATATGAAAAAAAGAGAATCAGTCATGAACTCACAGTTAGTTTTGCAGCTGTCCCTAAGCAAAACTGCTGACCAGAGACCAGACCTCCAGCTAAATTAGGTTTAAGTCCCCTGTTATCTTTCTTCTGCAGCACAGAGGGGACTTCAGAGGCAGTTGGGTGTTCCCATGGGTGACTGCTGCCTCCTGAGCCAGGGGGAGCACTTGCCCCCCCAGTGGCCAGTCAGCAATGGGGGGGGGGGTCCACCCACAGCCAACTGTGCCAACTGGGGGAAGGGGTCCCCCTGCGGCCTATTGTGTGGCACTTCTGGTCAGCCATGGGGGGACCGTGGAGATTGCTTCTCCTAGCACCCACACTCCCCTGCCACTGGGTGTTCCTCTGCTACAGGCGTAATTGAGAGGGGACTTGGTAGCAGCTTACCGCTACATCAGGGGAATACATCAAGCAAATAACTGTTCACCAGGGCATCCTTGGGGAAAACCAGGAGTAATGGCCACAAACTCCTGGAAGACTGTTTCAGGCTTAAAGCTAGGAGGAACTTCTTCATAGTCAGGGTGCCCAGACTGTGGAATAAACTCTCTTCAGAGGTGGTGCAATCACCTACCCTGGAAATCTTCAAGAGGAGACTGGACGATTACCTTGTTGGGGTTACCTGACCCCAGTTGTCTTTCCTGCCTAGTGTGGAGGGGGCTGGACGCGATGATCTTGTGAGGTCCCTTCCATCCTTACAATCTATGAATCTATAAGTTACAATCTATGAATCTAATGCAGGGGGCATTCTTGTGTGTGGCATTTTGAAGAGATGAGGCCAGAGCACACTCTCCAGTGATCCTCTTCAGGATAGTGGCTTTTAAAGTTAGCTTTAGTTAGAACAACCCTGTGACAGCTCTAGCTTTTGCTCCCTTACCAAGTTCAAAGGATGGAGAAATGACATAACATAGAATCCCAGGACCCCTGAGGATACAGCCCAGATGTGGACAGGAGTGCAGAGCTTTGGAAGAGTTTTCCTATTTTGATCCATTTTGACCCAAATAGAACCCATTTTACCAGATGGCAAACTTGGCAAGAGCAGCCATTAACTGCTGCAGCTGCACTTAAAAGTGCTTTAATTGCAAATGGAGACCAGTTCAAATCACATCTGGCATTATTTCAGAAATTGTATCTGAGCAATTCCCAAGCCAGTTTTAAACATGGTTACTGAAAGGCTGCTGAACAATGTGAACATGCCTTGGCTTTGGTCTGCAGTTACAGTTAAACTATATTCAGCATTGACACCTCTGCACCCACGGAGGACTTGCTTTTATCAGTACCAGGTAATTTATGAAGAGGATACAAAGGTTAAAGCAGGGACAAATCAACAGTAGAAATGATGACTAATTTTTTGATACAGCTTAAAAGAGGGGAAAAAAGATATGCAGCAGGCTTATAAGCTTGCTGAAGTCTGCTAGAAGCAAGATTGGGTGAGAATTATGACACTTCATACAAACAGAAATTTTTGCCCTTCACTACAGTAAATAGTTTGGGGAAAAAACACTCAGTCCAACTGGCTGCCTATACATGTGCTTGGGGGGGTAGGGGTGGGACATTTTAATTAGAGTGGCTCCTGAAGAGCTGTCACGTGTATTAAGTCCCCGCACATTTAAAAATGGGCATGGACGCTTTTCATAGTTTCATAGTTGGTGGGGTTGGAAGGGACCTGAGCAGATCATCAAGTCTGACCCCCTGCCATGGCAGGGGTCAAATGATCCCAGCTAGGTGATTGTCCAGCCTCCTTTTGAAGGCCCCCAGGGTAGAAGCAAGCACCACTTTCCTTGGAAGTTGGTTCCAGATCCTAGCCGCCTTGACAGTGAAGTAGCGTCTCCTGATGTCTAGCCTGAATCTACTCTCCGTCAACTTATGGCCGTTATTCCTTGTTACTTCCAGTAGTGCTTGGGGGAACAGGGACTCTCCCATTGCCTGCTGGTCTCCATTGGCCAGTTTATAGACGGTCACCAGATCTCTTTTTCTAAATCTCATTTGACAAGGTTTAGACAAAGCTCTCTGCGGCCATTTTAAAACGTGCGGGGGCTTAATACATGTGATGCTGCAATGATGCTGGGGTGTTCTAATTAGAACACAAGTCTAATTAGACTGGATTAATCAATTCTGCTCTGACACATTCTAATTAGAATGCCAACATTCTAATGCACATATATAGGCAGCCCATGTGTCTAAGCTAAAACAATTTATAGACAAAATTCATTTATGTCAAAATGAAAAAACAGTTCCCTCCACGGCAGGAATCATTAGGTGAAACTCTATGGCTTACTTTATACAAAGATCATTGTGGTAAAATGCTGAAGAGAGACAATGCCATGCCAATTTTTTTAATTCAACACCTGGTAATATTTAATACACATAATGGGCAAAACCCTGTCCCCAGTGAAACCCCAAGGAAGTTGATCATTGACTTTAATAGGACAAGGATTTTATCTGCTCAGACATAATTGTGTACTTGTTTTGTATGTGTCCACCCCAGGCTTTGGGTGCCCTTCCCTGAATTAGATGAACATAAATTTTGTAATATACTTCTCAAGCACCCTTTTATGAAGCACAGCTGCCTTCAGGTAAAGCAAATCAGTAGCTGATAATCTTCCAGGCTATATCCCATTCCAGATGGGCATCAACTTTTTTTCCTATCAAGGCATGTTTGGATTATTTTGGGCCAAGGGGAAAGGAACAAATCTGAGTTAAGGATCCATTGATTCATCAGATCATTAAAGATAGGTGTATGACATTGCCCTCATGGGGTTGGGCACAAGGGTGCAGAGGCATGCTTTTTTTTTTTTTTT